CCCCTGGTGAACTGATTTTCAAAAGGGGCACCAAGATAATTCAATGGGGAAAGAATTATCTTTCAACAAATGCTGCTGGAACAGCTCCACATGCAGAAAGATGAAGTTGGGCCCTTTCCTCACATCATACACAAAAATTAACTCAAAATGGATTAACGACCTCAACTTAACAGCTAACACATGAAACTCACAGAAGAAAACACAGGAGAAAATCCTCATGATCTTGGGCTGGACACCGGTTTCTTAAATACAACACCAAAAGCAGAGTGATAAAAGAAAAAAACAGATAAATTGGATTTCATCAAAATTAAAATCTTTTGTGCATCAACAAACACTATCAAGAAAGTGAAAAGACAACTCCCAAGTTGGAAAAAGAAGTATTTGCAAATCATGTATCTGGTAAGAGTCTGGTATTGAGAATATAAAGAACTCTTACAACTCAATAATAAAAAAAAAACAAATAATCCAAGATGGGCAAAGGATCTGAATAGACATTTCTCCAAAGACATACAAATAACTAATAAGCACATGAAAAGACACTCAACATCGTCAGTCATCAGGGAAACGAAAATCAGAATGACTAGAAGATCCCATTCCACACCCCACAGAGTGGCTACAATCAAAAAGAGAGACGTCACATGTCTGGGCGAGGATGTGAAGCAATTAGGTGCCTCAATACTGTCGGTTGCAATGTTAGTACGGTGTGGCCCTGTGGAAAGTAGTCTGGCAGTTAAATCTCAAGTAAAGACTTATCATATGATCCAGTAATTCCCCTCTTGGGTACAGGACAAGAGAAAGGAAACATACACCCCCGCAAAAACTTGACACTAATGTTTGTGATAACATTATTCATAATAGCCAAGAAAGGAGGAACAACCCGAATGCCCATCAACTGATGAATGGATAAACAAAATGCGGGGTATCTGTACAGTGGAGTACTATTCGGCCTTGAAAAGGAGTGGAGAACTGACCCACGCCACAGCACGGATGAACTCTGAAAACACTGTGCTCAGTCCAAGAAGCCAGTCACGAAAAACCACGTACTATATGAGTCTACTTGTATGAAATGTCCAGAACGGGCAAATTATAGAGGCAGAAAGCAGATTAGTGGTTGCTCAGGCCTGGGGGTTGGGGGGAGCAGGAAGGATAGGGAATACCCGTGAATAGGCAAAGGGTTTCTCTGTGCAGTGGTGAACACATTCTAAAATTATGGTTATTCTGAAACTGGGGTTATGGTCACACAACTTTGGGAATATACTAAAAACCACTGAATTGTACACTTTATTTTTTTTAAAGATTTATTTATTTATTTTAGAGAGGGAGAGCGCAAGTGCAGTGCACATGCCTGGGGGGGAGGGGCAGAGGAAGACGATCCTGAGCAGACTCCCCCCCAGAGCGCGGAGCCTGATGTAGGGCTCGATCTCACGACCCTGAGCCAAAACCAAGAGTCGGACGCTTAACTGACTGAGCCACCCGGGCGCCCCTGAATCGTACACTTTAAAAGGGTAAACTGTGTGGTATGTGAATTTTATCTCAATACAGCTGTTCAAAATGAATAAATACACGATATTTGTGAAATTCAAAAGTAGTGGGCCCAGCTCCCACCCTCACACAGTATATATCCGAATGAGCGCAAAGCCTACTGCGGTGAATTGCGCACCCCTCCTGTCCCTCCATCCTTCAACCTACAAAGGAAGGAAAGGGGGCGGCACAACTCCTCAGCCGGTCTGGCTGACATGAGCAGCACATCAGGGACGAAGAGAAGAAACAGTAACTCCCTGCACAGTAGGTCTGGTGCGTGGGGCGCGCTCGCACAAAAGTCCCTCGCTTCTCTGCTCTCTGTTCATCTCCATCTTCAAAGTAACATCCCATCTGGCAACTCTCCTAGGAAAGCTTCCTCGGCCAGCAAGCAGTGTGGTTTCCACGGCGCTCCTGGCTCTGCTCATGGGGTCTAATTAATGCTCTGTAGAGCTGTCTCGCAACTGCCCACGCCCCCTTTGGCAGAGCACCTCCCGGGCAGAGACTGAGTCTGCTGCTGAAACCCATTCTCCCTGCCGGGCGCTCGACCAGCTGCTCAGCCACGAGGCACTGAAGGGAGAGGGGGTTTGACAAGTGACGCCCTCATTCTCAGCAGGGAAGGGAAGCCCGTTCCGGCCGTGCCGGCTTCCCTGTCTTCCTCACCAACTGAAATGTTCCGTTTCGTGCTCTCTGTCCGGGCCCCACCACGTCCCCCACCCTGTCCTAGGAGAGAAAACAAACACATCGAACCCACAGATAAACAGTCGACATCTGCGGGCAGCGCTTCCAGCCGGCAGCAAGGCAGAGCGCCAGCCGCCTCACCCACTTGTCTGTGCTCTGGGGAGAAAACGGCCTGTCCTGTCGCTGCCTGGGGCGCGCTCGGCTCCCAGCGCCCTCCCGGCCAGCTGTGCTGGGATTCGCTGGGCTGGGCTGGAAAACCCAGACGCCCCCGGCAGCTGGCAGAACCCCCGAGGGGCCTCCGGGCGCCCCCGAGCTCCTGGAGAAGGATGGAGAAACACAGGCTTGAGTGTGCAGGCCCACATGTTTGCAGCCGCGGGGCGTGTGTAGCCTTTGGAACGGCTAGCCAAAGCAAAGTCGGGTCCACGTTCTACAGGATGTTCTGCCAGCCCCGCTGCCTGTCTGAAGGGGCTAGGGGGAGGTTTCAGAATGTCCTCCGCCCTCCAGCTGTGTCTCCAGAAGCCGAGAAATAACCACAGACGATGTGAAATCCTAACTGCCTGCTGAAGGAATTTAACAAGTCACATCCACGCTGACCTGCACCCTTCCCCACGCACAGCTCTGCGTGGCTGCGCCTGTTCCTCTCGGTGCAGGATGCCCGCCCCTCTCTCTCCCCAGCACCACACTGCGGACTCCCGCCTCTTGGACACAAGCACAGAGCCACACGGGAGAGGAGCTGTGGCTCAGTGACAGCCGCTCTGCCCCTCGGGGGGCACGGTGACCACCTGCACCGAGTAACGGGCAGCTCTGCAGACCGACCATTTTAGACAACTGGAATTCTTTCTATACGACTCCTGTGTGAAGGTTTGAACTCCTGACTTAGACAACTGTATGGTGAGCCATCTGGCTCCTTGCTCAGCGGGGCTCCATCCCAGGACCCCGGGATCATGACCCGAGCCGAAGGCAGACGCTCAACCGACTGAGCCACCCAGGCGCTCCTGTAGTGAGTTTTCTTGTTATTCAGGAAAAAGTGAGGATTTATTTTCGGAAAAAACAAAACCAAAAACAATACTTTTGTAGAAAAATACTTTTCTATGAAAGCCTCCAGTCCATCTGACAAACTTACAGAGACTTCTGGAGCACAGAGATCATTTTTCCTGCGTATTTTCAAAGGGTGGGTTGTTCCCACCACCACTGTTGGTCAAAAGGTGAAGGCCACTGGGCTCATGGGCACCTGCCCACTGAACCCCAACTGCCCGGGACTTTCCAGGCGGCCCACCCCACCCCTTGAACACCACGCCAGGGGGGTGCCAGGATCACAGGAGAGCCCTCTGTCCCGGAGCTCCACAGACACAAAACCCGACAGAGGGTCCTGCCTTCTGTTCCACCAAGTCACTTCGCTATTACGGTTACCTGCTTCTCAGGCCTAAGGGGTTGCTCTGGAAGTTGAGGGGAAAGTTTCAGGGGCAGGAAGAGCAACTGTTCAGTGGGACCCCATAGTCATCACACACCAGCTTTTAAAAAATACACGGGTGGTGCTTTTTCTGCCCAACAGTGGCTTTCCTGAAGCCCGCTGACCTCTGTTCCAAGGATGAATGCTCATGGTGAGTCCCCAGCCCAGCTCGGCCGAGGCCCCACATCTCCCCCAGCCTGACTCTCTGCTCCCTGCCGCCTTTGTAAGTGAATTTAACTACTTCTCTCTTTTCATCTGAAAAGTAAGGATGTCCCTGGCTTTTCCCACATGCCAAATACGTTTCTGGGGTACAAACGGCATAACAGAAGGGACGGGGCTTTGCAGGACCTCCAGCACTCCGCAGAGGTAAGGTGGAGCGGGCCGCACTAGCTTGCAGAGAGCAGCTAAGCCACTGAGCCCAAACCGCCGGGTGCTCTCTCATTTGGTCTCACGCTGCTGTGCTTCAGACTGGGGGAGCCCACTGCCCCGATCAGTCTGTGTGAACAAGGATGCTGGGCTCTCATTCCCCCCCAAGCACTTCACACGCAGTGGAAAGAGGTCATTTATTAAAGTGAGGGGGAAAAAAAACAAAGTGGCATGGTTTATTTTAGACTTCTAACTAAAGATAGAAGGAGATCATTTTACAATGAGGACTCTCTGAAAAGATGCAGCAGGGCACCCTGCCTAAGGCAGGGAGGTGCCTGGGGCCCAGCGATGTGGGTGGAATCCCAGCTCTTACACAAGAGCACAGTGCGTCAGGGAAGCAGGGACTCTGGACGAGACTGTCTCCGTCAGCACCCCACTGGCTGACCTGTGTGCCCCCAGGGGACAGGATTCCACCTCTCCAGCCTCAACCCCTTCACCTGTAAAATGGAGCACGAAGAGTACCCACCTGCCTTTATCGCCCCCATAGGGTCATCATGAAAACTACATGAGTTCGCATTTTAAAGCACCTAAAACAACATCTAGACAACAGTAAACACTGTAAGTGTTCATTAGATAAACCTACCCTACAGAATTCTTGGAATCGCAAATAAGACATGTGTGGTGTTTAGTAACATGACTGCAGGAGGTTGGTCATAATGAATACCGATTTAGAGATAGCTGAGCAGACAATTTACAGTGACTTCAGGCTCGAGAACACCCAAAGCAGTTTCCTAGGCCTCCTGGTGTCCAAAGAGACCTTACCGAGAGACTGGACTTCCCAGGCTGAGGGGACGCCCAGGCACAAACCTGCTTCCAGCATGGACTGAGCTCTGTGAGGCATACTGCACGGCTGGAAGGGCTGAGCACCTGACCTCGTTCAAGCCTCACTCCATCTCCACAAACCCACGATTTCAGGACCATTCACCGTCTCTACTGATGAGACAAATGCTCAGGGTGCTCAGTGCCTGGTCCACGGTCTCCTAAGCCCCAGGGCAGAGCCAGACCTGAAATCCAGGTAGGCAGGACCCTGATACCTGCGCACACGCAGAATGCAGCAGGCTCTGGAGACCGCAGCCTCCAGTGATGAACAATTGCCCAAAATGCTAAGATGCTCATTAATATTCATTTTTCTTGCTGTTCATCCTGCCTTTAAATAAAGTGTATATCCTTCCCTAAATTCTAAAGTTAAGCTTTTTGAGGGGAAGGCAGAACCACTGTCACCAACTATAACCATCTAAAACTCAATAAATTCAACAGAAATAGATTCTACACATACTAGCATGCCATTTAATACTATTCTATTCTACTGAAAAAAAAAAATCTCTCTGGCCTTCCTGAAGAATTTCACACATATAGACTTACTTTCTCAAGTAACACAGAAAACCACCAACAGGAATCTCCTGAAGTAAGACAGAGGGAAAAGGAAAAGAAAGGAAGAACATTGAGACCCTTATTTTCCAGAAAGGATTTGAAAGCAACACTGCACGAAAAAAACATCTTCCTTAATCCCAGTGCTCTGTAAACAAACATTTGAAAAGCTATTTATAAAAATCAAAATGTGCAAAGTGCCAGAATACATTTCTTTAAACCAAGGAGGGCCTTGCTTCTGGTTTTCGTTAAAAATCAGGTTTCAGAAAACAAATTTTTATGACTTTATCTGCTCTTAAAAGTAAGTGTGACAGTTTGATCTCAAAAGCTCTTGAATCTGACTAGGATAAACTGCTCCCCCCCCCCCCCAGTATTATCTTCCTGATTGTGGATTTTGTCCCTTTTCAACCTTAACTGTTCACAAATACAATGTTAACTTCGCTTATCAGGTCCCTCAAGGACACACAGTTCTTCCTGCCTTTGCCCCTTCATTACTTTGGGCCACTGGAGCCTTCCATGAGGAAAATGGGTCCCAATCAGATACAACTTCCAAAAATAAACTCCCTAACCCCCACCCTTGTGCTAGTTTACCAAAAAGAAGGTAGGCTATCCCCTCCCTGACATGAAGCCCTGGGAGGCAGGTAATCCAGAGGACAAATGTCCTGTAAGGCCTAGACCCAAGTCTCAAAACACATAATTTTGCAATGTGTCCAACTCCTCTAAAGCTCCATTCAGAGCAGACCACTTTGCTTTCCCAGGAGACGTTACAATTTTAGGCAAGGTCTCTGGAAGACAGGAGACTGCAATTAATGTTTGGTGAGGAGTGAGTCGAGGAGGACAGGACACAGGGACTTTTAAAAATGCCCAGTCACATCTTGACCATCTCCACAGGGGCTGCTGACATGAAAAGATTATAAAGGCCCTGGAGCCAAACTAAAAAAAAAATCTCCAAAAGAAAAAAAGAAGAAAAAAAAAAAAAACACTGTGACGGAAAAACAAAAATATACATTCCATTTTTCACATAATGTTCTGCCAAACCCCATGCCCCATGACCGCACACGTTTCTAGACACAGCCTCACGCTACACGAGCAGTCAGGCCTGCGGCTGCCCCAGAGCGGAGGTCGGGAAGGCGCGAGGGCTGCTAACCAGCCGAAGGGGGCCGCGGCGGGCCCAGACTGTCAGCCCTGGCAGCAAACTCTCCACGGGAAGCAAATCTCTGCACTCGGGGTGCTGAGCTCCCAGCCCTGAACCGCTCTCGAATTGCCGGTGTTACAAAGTCTATCTTAGTGTTGTTGATTCCTGGCGTCAGAGTGCCATTTACTCAATTTCCTGTTTCCTGTGCTGTGAAATACTTCACACGAGCTATCGGGAGATAGTGTGGTCCTCACCACCCTCCTGCTTATCAGTCTTCCCCCTCTGTTAACAGAATGTACTCTCTTGCATCTCCTTGTTCCAAAACAATCTCCCACCAGCAATCAAAAAAAAAAAAAAGCCTCCATAAGAATCTCCTCCAGTCTCCTGGTCTCCCCAGTCATGGCGGAGCGTGCCCCTCTCCCAATGTGATGGCACCACCATTCTTCAGTTATCACAGTACTGTACCTTTCAGATATACAGCATCGGTACCATGATAACCGAAAAAGGACAGTTCAGTCTCATATCTACCTGAGTATCTCCGCCCACACGAGGCCCACCCAGCCCGCTCCCACCCACAGATGACCAGGTAACGATATGAAGTAGATATGCACATACACACACACACACACACAGATGTCGGCTGTTACTGTCAATAGGAAATGCTTCTCCTCCGCTGTGTATCATTTAAGTCTTGTTTATCATTAAGTCTGAGCTGCTCTTTTTGCCTCAGTGGTCAACTTCGGATGACACCCATGGCCTCAAACTCACCTCTCTATTTTCCCCACTAGTCCAGCGGCAGGACTATGAACTTTGCCTCCTCGTTCATCTTTCCAGCCAGCTCACACCCTATCGTCTGGGACAAAAAGATAGTCCTCTTGGCCACAGCGAAGGAAGAGGGGGATTTAAAAAACTAACAACAAAATCCAAGCTATAACAGAACCAGGAGTTTACCTCCAAAATGGAAACAAAATCTAAAGCACAGACAAGAGAACGGCCCAGTATTTGTCACGTAACTCTGATGACCTGGGAACGACAGACGGGAATGGTGAAGCTACAAGAAAGAATGGAAAGCAGGATCCTTGTTAAACAGCAGGTTTAGGATGACAGGCTCTGGCTCTCTATGCATCAGCACAAGCCGGGCTTCACAGAGACGAGCTGTGTGGTGCGCAACACCTGTGTTGTTCTGGGCCATTGGAAGACTAAACCGGCCAGCGCGGTAAGGCTGAAGGGCAGGGACTCACGTGTAGGGAGACAGCGGTCCGAGCAGGACTTTGGAAACATCCTGCTGTCCAAGGGTCATGAGCAACAGAGCCAGGCTCTGGTTGGTCGAGTCCACACATCCACCCTGTAAACACAAACACCTTAAAGATTAATCGTTGTGCCAACCAGAAAATGGAAAACCAACAAAACAGAGGGAAGGAAAACTGCAGACACCCAGAGGATCAGAACCACAGAAGAGGAGGCTACAAAGTGCAAGCAGTAATAAAATAGAGGGCAAGTCTTTGAGGAGTAACCCTTACACCCGCTGACTTTAGGGAGTGAAAGTAACAGTTAATAAAAACAACTGTAATCATGGAGACTATGCGAATGAATAGACACTCAGCTGTATCTAGTGAAAAATGAAACCCTGCCTTTGTAAGGAAAGAAGAGGCAGGACATACAAGCAAAAACCCCTAATCAGCTCTAGGCAATGTATAGTTAATTACCTAGGGCTATGTGAATGCCGCCTCTCTTGTGATCTGTTCTGGAGCTAATCCGACGTGAATTCAGTCACCTTCCACGGGTCTCACCTATGCCCACATTCCGTCACACTCAGATACTGCTGGCCTGTTCCAGGAGCCTCTCGGCTCTCTCCCTGTGTGTGCCTTAGCACTGGGGAACTACTGCACTCAGGCCGTCCCTCCTCACTGCTTGCTTACGCATTACTCCCCGCCACTTTCCCTTCCTTCTCCTCCACACCAGAACACAGCTGCTTTGGTTGTCTTCTTTCTTTCATTCTTGAATTTCTCCACTGTTCCTGCCATTTTGCATCTGCCAATGCATGCATTACAGCTGTTGACATCTGTGCCCTTCAAAGTGTCTTTATTTCTCATCATACTTCCTGGGAGAACTTGATTTACAAATCAAACTTGCATTGTGCACAGTGAAAGCAGGATGACCCCGGTCTCTACGTATTTTGTAAGCATCAAGGTGAGACACCCGGTCTCTGAGCACGGCTCTCCCGGACTGTGATCGGAATGCGTAGCCTCCCACTGCTGCTTCTGTGGCTGCACCTGTCCTCTCAGAGTGTGTGCAGTGTAGGGAGTAAGTCAGTGCTCAGGTGCGGTCACCCGTTCTCTGCTGCTGGACTTCATTTGTGACCATGGAGTCAGAATATAAGGGGGTTTATGCTACAGCTAGCCTTGATGAAAACCCACTGCTCCCCCCAAACTACCAGAGATACTATAGGACAGTGTTTATCTCATTTAGCAAACCTTAGGACAAGAAGGGTTACAGCTTATATATTTCCATCTAAAAAGGACAACCTGACCCCTGAGGAAGAGGAGGCCCAACAACACTAACTCTGCCTTACAGAACTTGCTCCCTCTCCTAACTGCCTAAAATTAAACTGTTCTCCATCTCTCCTTCTTATCACTGTGCTGCTTTTCTACCATCCTCACCGCTAGGTTTCCAGTTATGTGCTAGGGCGACATTTCGGCGTGATCACTGTTATGTGTGCACGGGACACCACGGAGGGGGTAGTGGAGTCATCCCCAGGGCACAGGCTGCAGTCCTGGTACTGAGTGGCTTCACTCTCACTGCAGCGATGAGAAAGGAGCAGGTACAGAGACAATTCAGGCGGAGCCAGCGCTATGCATTCGTTGGGGGCTGTGGGCACTGGGGCTGCCAAGGCAGGCAGGGGAGGGCAGTCACCCAGCTAGAACCAGAGGGAGACTCTGGGGACAGGGACCTGAGGCGGCCCCGGAGCAGGAGGACGGGGCAAACAGGACCCAGGGCCAGCAAGGAGCAGCTGAAAAGCGGCTGCACGCTGTGCAGACGGACGAGAAACGGTCGAGAGAAGGGAAAGGACAGACTGAGTCTGGGATTTTCTAATCCGGCCAAGGGTTTTGACTTTATCATGGGAAAGTGAGAAGCTGGAGAAGGTCTCTGAATGCAGGAGTGGAAAGATGAGATCAGTGTCTCAGGGTGAGATCTGAACAGAAGAGATGTTCGAGAGGTGGATGGGAGGGAGGAGAAGCAGATGGGGCAACAAAAGATGAGCGAGAAAGGCAGTTCCAGGGAGCCTGCCACAGAATCAAGGGGGCTTAGTCACCGAGGAGACACAGATGGAACAAGGGATCAGAGAAGAGGATGAAAACTTTGATAAAAAATAAGTGTACCCTCAAAGGGATGGATTCTTATTACTCATTTAAACCTTGTCACATCACACACCTATAAAAAATGATTCATAGGGTCCCCTGGGTGGCTCAGTCAGTTAAGCATCTGACTCTTGATTTCGGCTCAGGTCATGATCTCAGGGTCGTGAGACCCAGCCGAGCCGAGCCCCCACATCGGGCTCTGTGCTCAGCAGGGAGTCTGCTTGTCCCTCACCTCCCCCTCTCACCCCCTGCTTGCACACACACGCTCACTCTCGAATAAATAAAATCTTAAAAATAATTATTCATAAAAGCATAAAGCACTTTCATCCTTTTAAAACTTAAAGATCCTAGACGTATATACAAAGCATGTTTTCTTAGTGATTAAAAACAAAGGCAGAAAACCTGGTCCAGGCATAAGAAAATGGTATAAAATAGAACTTAACTGGAGTGTAAAGAAAAAATAAAATAACCGAATCCAGATTGTATGTCTTCTCTCTCGTGGACTGATGGGCTGGCTGTGCTTTTACCTAGAGGCTTATGATCCACTATTTACGGGGATACAAAATGGGCTCCCACTGGGCTATTCTGTGACTCGATGCTTCCAATGCCCCCAGGTCCGCTGGAAAGAGACAGAACATCCCCCACAGTCAGGAAGAGGAACTGCCAAACACCACAGGACCCAGGAAGGGACACCTGCACACGTCAACAGGGGCTGGAGGATGCACGTAAAACACACAGGCTTTCCTCACACAATCCTAGACGACAGACTTCCTGAACTAAGTAACGGGCAGCGCAAGCTCTGGATCATTATTCCCAGCTTCCAGTTACTACCTGTCTTTCAAAAATCAGCGAATTAAAAAAAAAAAAAATCACTAAATTTAGCACCAACCATTGGGCTGATTTAGCATCAAAAGAGCTGAGGCCAGACCCTGACCACACTCTTTTTGGAGGATTTCATCTGACACGGTGCTTCCTTCCTCCACTACTTCCCAGCTGAACAGTGAGTACAGGGACATACAAGGACAGAGACACTTCACTGAAGACATACTTACAGGTTCTCTGTCTTCATCTTAATTAGGTGGACATGAAATAAAGCCATTTAGGACCTGGAAATCCTAATTAAATCTGAAACAGTTCATTCTTACTTGTTCCACCTTGTGACCAATAACATTTTCAAGAATGCTGACTTGGATCAGGGGAGTAGACTGTTTATAAGCTGTTTTCCTTAAGACGGCCTGTATAGGGATCCCATGACCCAGCCATCACCTTACCACAGTTATCAGTGACAGTGGCAAAAGGAAGATGTGAATGAAAAAAAAAATCACCACTGTACCTGCCTTACTGGTTTTATTTCGCTGGGCTCACATGTGATTTTTGTTGCTTTCAACAGGGCAAAACTTCCCTGGGAGACTCCAGGAAGGACCCACAGAGAGGTCTAGTAACTGAGAATAAATACACAAATACAGAGATGAAAGGCTCTTGAGCTAGACAGAAAAGACAGTTGACAAACACCGTACACCATCTAGTAGCAAACCACCCAGAGTACAGTTCTCACCGGTGCTCAGTTCAAGAACGTGGGGCCTCGCCTACACAGTAGAGAAGTGAACATCCCTCAAAGCCTGAACTGGACTCTGCATTTCAAGGGCGAAGTTTCAGCTTCCAGATTTGGAACCAAGGTAAAAGATAGTGCAGAAAAACAAACCTTGGAGCTGCATTTGTGACTCTCATCTAACCAAACTTATGGGATCTTAAAGAATATTTTCAGGCAGCTTCATCTTATTTTCTCCTGCTGTCATTCTTCCTTCCCTTCCAATTTCTTCCTTGCTTCTTTTAGGTCAGCTCAACTGCCTTTAGGACACAGTAAGTGTGTGTGCACGTGCACGCAGAGAATACTCTGGCAACTGGAAGGACAGGCTGGTCCAGGCAGGTCTGAGCTGTGTCCCACAGCAGAGCTGCAGAAGCAAAATGGCAACTGGTGAAGTCCTGTCTCTTGCCGCATTCTGATCTTTCCAAGCCCCTACTGTGCGCCGACGCAGGACTGCCTTCCCCAGACAGCATTCTGTGCCACAGCACACTGCAAAACCTAGCCCATCGATACGATTTTCTATCTGAATTGTCACATACAAATCCAGATTTCCGGCTTCTCTTGAAAAAGCTGAGAACAGCGAGCCCCTGCTCCCCTACAGCAGGGACTCGAGGAGCTGAGAGATGGTGCTGCATCGGTCAGGGCAGTGTGTGCTCTTCAACTGGCCAATCACCACCAAACCGGCTTCATTTTTTAACCCTCTCTCTTTTGTATGACTCTGTTCTAGTTCCTTCCTTTCCCCATTAAACTTACCTGCCCTGTTTCCCAAACCAGTGGGGCTGGATCTCTGTCACCGACTAGCTTACTTAATCCATTCAAGTAGTTAATGCTAAACCGCTGAATGGGTAGGAACAAGTTAACTCCTTGGCTTAAGCCCTTGGAAGGGAAAAAAGTCACTAAGGAATAAAAATGAGAGACAATGATGGCTTTGCTCCCAGACCTGCAGAGACAGAGGACATACCCTATAGATCTCTTCGAGCAGCAGCTTGGCACAGTTCCTGCCGAGGTCCTCCGGAAGCACTGCTGCTCCCTGGCCCTGGGGGTTGGAGGCCAGTTCAGCACTGAGGAAGGTGCCATTGGTGGTCTCGGCAACCAGTGACAACCCAAAGCCAGGAGACCTGGGGATTCAAAGGCACAGACATGAGTAGGGTTCATAAAGGGGGGGGGGGGGGTCACATTCACCAGCAAAAGGAAAAGAGAAGACAAACTTCTCTTTGATGGCATTCTCTCTGGCCACAGCAAGCCTTCCTAGAGATCCTACTAGCTTATGCTAGAAATATAAACAACTTAGTGAGAGCACACAAGGCAGAACCAAGATTACGCTCAAGTTTGCACGGCTTTTCCCGTTGGCCTGCCTTCCTTCCCCCCACTCCAACACTGTGAAAGATCATACTGTGCGAGCCTGTAACGATCAACATATAAAGTAACATGAACAAGGGATACCAGATACTAAGCACCTACTTATGGCCAGTTTGAGCTAGGAGCTTTGACACCACAACTCTGCAGAGTAAACATTACCACCCTCATTTTACAAATGAGAAATTAAGCAACCAGCACCAAGCCCACACAGCTAGAGAGTGACTGAAATGCATTTCAAACACAGGTCTTCCAGACTCCAAAGCCCGTGAAAGTTCTCCACCACAGTACTAGGCCTTCAACCAATCCAGAAGATATGAGTGGCCGGAGGCCACCGATGACAGCTTTCTTCCGAAATACCAGGCTGCTCCCCCGTAATGAAAAGTACCACATGAGCCAGAAAGGGCCTGCAGACCTTTGTCTGAAGAACATCCCTCACTCAGAATTCACTTATTTTTTTTTTAAGATTTTATTTATCCATTGACAGAGAGAGAGAGCACAAGCAGGGGGAGCGGCAGGCAGAGGGAGAAGCAGACTCCCTGCTGAGCAAGAAACCCGATGCCGGGACTCGATCCCAGGACCCTGGGATCATGACCTGAGCCGAAGGCAGATGATCGACTGAGCCACCCAGGCGCCCCTCAGAATTCATTTAATCTAACCAGTGAGCTGGCACCGTGTTCTCTCCTGTTGTGTTCCTACCACCAACAGCCAGAAGCTAACACCAGCTGACTCACTCACTCATGCATCCAACAAACATTTGGGGAAAAGCTGCTTCCATGGCCAGGACACCGAGCACACGGTAAACACAGGAGTTCCTGCTCTCACAGAGCTCAGTGACAACCGGTTTGGCACAAAAGACAATCAGTCCACGAACAATAACAACAGCACCTCTCCATAAAATTTCTAAGTTTGACATCACAGACGTCTCCTTTCCCAGTGCCTTTTAAAAAAATATGTATTCCCAGCAGTATATTCGACATGCAATCACTACACGTGTCCCCTTTAAGACAATTCAACATCCATGTTCCTAAAGCACTCTGTGTCCAGCACAAAACTAGCCAAAACATCTGTTTCAGAAAAACTACCCAGCCAAGGGTTAAGGACACCTGCCAAGGGAAGGGGGTGAGTGAGAACAAAGGTTCTGGGGCGCTCCGAGTCGTGCTTTACCGCCTAACGCCGTGCCGCCCAGCCATCCCACCACGCGGCAACCTCGAGCTGCCTTCGAGTCACCTGACCAGGAGGAAGGAGGGCATCCAGCTCAGTGGTACTGGAGGCGCCATGCAAACATGGAGAGTAGGAAACAGAGGGAGGCAGAACCAGGAGGCAAGCTGCCCTCACTGCTTTCACCTGCTCACTTACAGTTCCCAAGAACTTCCGAATTTTTCCATCCATGTGAAATCTTTGAGGTGTGTGTAGTTGTTATTACAATAAGCTTTGTATTTAATCAAGACTGTTCCATATAACACTGTATTTGCTTTAGGAAAAACACAAGAACACACGAAGCCATGTGTGCATTATGCGAATTTTCTCCCTCCAATCTGGGGTGTGTGTGTGTTATCTGGCCTGTTTCAAGTTATGATGACAAAGCAGCTGGTCACCAGGTGACCTCACTGAAGATCTGCCTTAGTAATTTGCAAGTGACAGCCTCCAAAACTTCCCAATTGGTGGGCGCCGGGGTGGTTCAGTCGGTTAAGTGTCTGCCTTCAGCTCAGCTCAGCTCATGATCCCGGGGTGCTGGGATCGAGGCCCACATTGGACCCCTGCTCAGTGGGGGACTCTGCTTCTCCCTCTGCCCCTCCCCCCTGCTCGTGCTCTCTCTCCGCTCTCTCTCTCTCTCAAAAAAATAAGTAAATAAATAAAATCTTTAAAAAAAAA